TGGAACAGGCCTGAAATGTTTTACTACTTTAGGTTCACCTATTATAATATTAAATGGAACAGGCCTGAAATGTTTTACTACTTTAGGTTCACCTATTATAATATTAAATGGAACAGGCCTGAAATGTTTTACTACTTTAGGTTCACCTATTATAATATTAAATGGAACAGGCCTTAAATATTTGATAATTGGTCACACTTCTGGATATGAAAGAAGTTGATAAAGTTGTTTTATTGCACACACACATACACTGTTGCTAGCTAAAGATATTTGTGAATTTTTAACATAAAATGTTTTAATGTGTTTTTCTAATGCATAAATTTTATTAGTATAAACTCCAAGTATATATTCATAATATCTTGGTTTTCCAGATATACTGGTATAGGCAAGGAGATGTGGATCCCAAGTTTCGGTTTTTGATCTATTTCAATGCTTTCACAATTTTTTTGCTTTGCATTTGTGCGAATGTTTCTTTCTTTCGAAAGTTAGAATGTACAAATAGAACAATCTCCTGAAGCGTGTCTTCACCTCCGTGATGTATAGTGTGAAAACTCGTGTATTAATTAAAATGTTTATTTGTTAAGTTGTGCCAACAAAATGTTCTGCTAAGATCTGCTTTACTTCTCTGCTCTTTACTCTTCGCCTAAAGCCAAATTTGTGCAGTCATTTGGCTCGACTAAATGAAAATTTAAAAAAGCCTTAAAGACAGTTGAATGTTTCTTGTAAAGTGTTACTATCTTTAATGTCAACTATGTAAATAAACTGTTTTTTTTTCAACATTGTTTTTGTTTTGCTGTTATTACCTTCAGAACCTGTACACAAGTAATTATGATGTGTGTTAGAACTCGAATAGAAATGTCCTTAAAATATATCAAGTTCTCAGGAATTGATAAAAGAATAACTGTCACTGAATCAATTTGGTGAAAAACCTAGTTTTGTCTGCAAATAAAATATGCATGATTTTATAATAATCACTTTTCACTAGCTGACCTTATTCAAAGATCTGTTGTGTTTGTCTTTGTGTTTTTTATACCGAAAATGGTTTTCAATGAAATCCGTGGAAAATTCTTTGAGTAAAATTGACTCCAATAATATCTTAATTCATCTAATTCTTTCCTTGTTATAGAAGGTACATTTCTGTTTTGTAATGTGAGGACTTTCCACTAAATGTGTTTAAGTACAGTTATTCTTCTACCTTTATTTAATAAAAGTTTACAAACAGGAACTTTACCTGAAGAAATGAATATTGCAAAGGTTACACCTGTTTATACAATGGTAATTTTGAGAAAGTCAAAGATTATCAACTGTTTAGTGTTTAGTTACACCTGTTTATACAATGGTACTTTTGAGAAAGTCAAAAATTATCAACTGTTTAGTGTATTTAATAAAACTTTGGAAACAGTTGTTATCTTGCATAGTTATTGATCATAATAGTAAAAATATAATCATTAAATATCAGTTTGTTATTCAACAAGGATAAACTACTCGGTTAATATTGATCTAAATAGTAAAAATATAATCATTAAATATCATTTTGTTGTTCAACAAGTATAAATTTCAATATTAACTGAGTAGTTTATCCTTGATGAACAACAAACTGATATTTAATGATTATATTTTTACTATTAAGGTCAATATTAACTGAGTAGTTTATCCTTGATGAACAACAAACTGATATTTAATGATTATATTTTTACTATTATCAATATTAAGAGTAGTTTATCCTTGAATATTAACTGAGTTCTTAATAGTAAAAATATAATCAATAAATATCAGTTTGTTGTTCATCAAGGATAAAGTAATAAGGGTTTTTTGCTGATTTAAAAACTTGGATAGACAAATTTGAAACATTAAAATCCTAATGTAATGTTTTAGACATCTTACTGTTGAATGTCAAATTTATTCCTGATATTATTTTAAATTAATTATCAATTTGACTAACTGCAAATGTGGAAATAGAGAAACAAGTAACTTTTCCTGGTAACTGTTTATAGTTGGTCATATTATTGAGCTAGGAAATAGGATGAAATGATTAATCTTGGCAGTTTTATATAAACAAGTAAAACTGTTAGGAATACTGGTATAATATTAAAACTGTAACAATGTATATTACTTAATCTCGATGATATCCTGGCTTTGGAAACACAGATAAGACGTCAACTTCTGTGTTTGGTTAGGTCTTCCCTATTACCTGTAGAACAACTGCATACAGTGAAATTATTACTCTTTGTGGATTTGAATGAGGTATTGCCTGAACTATTTTATTATAGATAGTTGAACATATTCTAATAAAACACAATCTTCTCAACGTTATAGATAGTTGAACATGTTCTAAGAAAACACAATCTTGTCAACATTATAGATAGTTGAACATGTTCTAATAAAACACAATCTTCTCAACATTATAGATAGTTGAACATATGCTAATAAAACACAATCTTCTCAATGTTATAGATAGTTGAACATATTCTAATAAAACACAATCTTCTCAACATTATAGATAGTTGAACATATTCTAATAAAACACAATCTTCTCAACGTTATAAATAGTTGAACATATGCTAATAAAACACAATCTTGTCAACGTTATAGATAGTTGAACATATTCTAATAAAACACAATCTTCTCAACATTATAGATAGTTGAACATAAGCTAATAAAACACAATCTTGTCAACGTTATAGATAGTTGAACATATTCTAATAAAACACAATCTTCTCAACGTTATAGATAGTTGAACATATTCTAATAAAACACAATCTTCTCAACGTTATAGATAGTTGAACATATGCTAATAAAACACAATCTTCTCAACATTATAGATAGTTGAACATATACTAATAAAACACAATCTTGTCAACATTATAGATAGTTGAACATATGCTAATAAAACACAATCTTGACAACATTATAGATAGTTGAACATGTTCTAATAAAACACAATCTTCTCACCAGCTGTGTATTCCTGGAAATTATGCAAGAGGTTTGATAATATAAGATACACCAGCCTGAAGACTTGACAGTTTAAAATATAGAACTTACATGCATGTTTTAAAAAAAAAACTAATGAGATATCTTTTTTAAAACATTGGTAACTGAAGTGTGAAGTGGTTATTTGTGTGTTCTTAAGCAGTAAATTAAATTATTTAATACTGTCAGGCCTATACTACAGCTTACTTACATTAGTTGTAGAAACATAAAACTGTTTTGTTGTTAGGTGTAAAATTCTGATTTTTTATATACACTGATATAGAAATTTAACAGGTAATTAAAGTCTAAATCTCAAATGAAGTTTAAAAGATTAATGTTCTTGGTGATGATTCAACTGAAATTTAAAAAGGTCCCCCAGTAGATGAGAATTAAGTTACAGACTTACAACATTAAAATCCAGGGTTTGATTCAGCATAGTGGACTTGAGTGTAAATAGCTCTTATGTAGCTTTGTGCTAAAACAGTAACAACAATAGTTTTCAAAAACGTTTAAGGCATTGATTTGCATATCAGATTTTTGGCTGACTTTTTTCTTCTTCAAATAATAACTAAATATTTAATGTTCGACATCAAGTTCTGTAACTTTTTATCACATGTACCTGACATTGTATTCTGAGAATGTAAGAGTGTTTGATATTTTGAGGTAAGTTCTACCAGTTTTGAGATGTTCTATCCCTCATTAGTGACTTTGGTAAAGGCAAATTGATGGAACAAGACTACTTCATTTATTGGTCAAGTTTCTTTGTAGTAATCTGCTAGACTTCAACTTCACTGGAGTTCACCTTTAAACTTGCTTTTGACACTTTCTTTATCATAAAACTGGACCTTTAAACTTTCTACTGACACTTTATCATAAAACTGGACCTTTAAACTTTCTACTGACACTTTATCATAAAACTGGACCTTTAAACTTTCTACTGACACTTTATCATATAACTAAATCTTTAAATGCTCATCTGACTGGAACTTCACGGTTGAATGGAACCATTAAAGTTATCTGACAAGTTTCTTCACAAAGATCTTATTTTGGAAAAATTCCCTATAAAAAAATCTATTTTCTCTGTTCTATTTAACTAGCTGTCTGATTAATTCAGTTTTCTAGACTATTATTAGGAGGGAGTTGATGTTTCGAATACTACAGGATCTAATATCCCTGTAACTTCCAGAAGATCCCTTTATTAGTTCCCCTGTGATGTTAATAGGTTCTAGTTCCATCATCAACTTCCTCTAAAGCTTCAGCTTAATCCTCATATACTCTGCTGTTATAACCTCTATAAATGTTCTCTTATTCTTGATATTGGCTTTATAATATTTAAAGTAACACTAGAATCTTGGTACTTGACCTTGTGGTCGCCTTCTTCAACATTTCAAGTTGAGTCAAGGTTCTATTTTACTTTCACCAAATAATCTTACTTTTAAGTCCCCCCCCCCCCATAAAAAGTAATTGGGCCTGTACATTTATATCCCTAACTTGTGATTCTGGCTGATTCAGTAACTTAACAGAATAGTGGAACCTCCCCCCTTAGTTCAAACAAAGTCAATTGTATGTATCCCCCTTTGTCACACAATTGCGGGGTCATACTTACACTGTTGTTTCTGAAACCCCTTTACAATGTCCAGTCCAGGTAATGATTATAAATTACTTTATTTCCTCATCTGTTGTTTCTATAAACTTGATCTCTTAACTTGTACACTGTTACAAATGAAGTTAACTAACGTAAAACAAATTAACTTCCACAACAGTTGGTAGTAACATGTTTTATTTCTAAGTAGGAAAGTCGGCAATACTTAGTGGTTCATTCTGTCTTCAAAAACTCCTACCTATTTACGATCTTTTAACTCGCTGTCTAACCAAACTAATGACGCTTCACCGAACGTGATATGTATAATCTACGTTCGAATATACTAGAAAACTTGACGTCACGTCTATAGAACTTTCTAGGCGTTTTCATCTCTATGTTAGTATTAAAACCGCAGCTCCCTCTAGCCAAAGTTTAAAATACAACATATAGCTTACAAACAATATATTAAGTCATATCCTTGCTTGCGTTCAGCCAGTGAGATTTAATCGTATTCTTCGATCCCGACTCACTCGCAATAGACAACTTGGTAAATTTGTAGAGGCGCCATCTATTTGGATAGATCGTGTAAACAAGAAAATGGCGGAAGGAAACGCGTCTGATGCTGAAAGTTATGTAAAGCATGACCACCTGGAAGTGGAAAGAGCGAAACTGGAACACAAGATAAGGCTAGAACATTGGATGGAAAATCTGCCCGAACATCTGCATTACCTTCCTCTGTATTGTCTGGCTATTCCAGGTAAGTTTGATACCACAACTGCATAACGTACAGGGCGGGACTTGTTTGTCGTGTATACCGTACTCTTATTCCCGTTGTACGAACTCATTAATATTAATTTTATTTACACACTTGTATTGTTAAATGTATCAAATTATTTCCAAAACGGCAGAAATTCGTTTTTGTTCTAAATCTAACACTTAGACCGTAAGCACTAGGAAAGTAGTGTCGGTAATATAACATATATATAAATAACGTATGCAGACTGCCATATCTACACCAGAGGGAGAAAGGATCGTAGTTACTAAAATTCTAACAATAGGAACCCAATTATATAACAGTGGTAGTGAAATAGATTTGTTGTTTTATATCAAGGAGGGGGATGGGGTGGAAGAGAACAAATGAGAAATGAGTGCTATTAAATAAAATGTATTACTTATAGACTAATTATTGATTGGTTTACTAAAAATCTCTTAACTGACGTAACAACTGCAAACATAAATAAAAATAAATACGTGCTGTACCAAGTTAAGTAGAAAACACGAATAGGATTTGTTGACAGACAGACAGAAGAATACCAACAGAAAATGAATAATATCAACAACAACAGTACGCTAAAAAAACACGATTTGGATCTTGGCTTTCTTGTTGCAATATGTAACCATTATGGAAATACATTACAGGATCAATAAGTAGCAGAAACACGTTGTTATAATATGTTACCATCATGAGAATACATAACAGTATTATTAAGTAGCTGAAATACATTGTTACAATATTGTAACCATCATGAGAATACATTACAGTACTATTAAGTAGCTGAAATACATTGTTACAATATGTAACCATCATGGAAATACATTACAGTACTATTAAGTAGCTGAAATACATTGTTATAATATGTAACCATCATGAGAATACATTACAGTACTATTAAGTAGCTGAAATACATTGTTACAATATGTAGACCATCATGGGAATACATAACAGTATTATTAAGTAGCTGAAAAACATTGTTACAATATGTAACCATCATGGAAATACATTACAGTACTATTAAGTAGCTGAAATACATTGTTATAATATGTAACCATCATGAGAATACATTACAGTATTATTAAGTAGCTGAAAAACATTGTTATAATATGTAACCATCATGGAAATACATTACATTATTAGTAAGTAATACATGTCAAAATGTCAAATGCATTTCAATACATATTTACCAAACAGTTTTATTAATGTATCTCTAAATGTTTGATATTTGTTGTAGTAATAGGATTTTTAAGTTATGTAACTTCCAAATTTTTAATTACACAGTCATATTCCAGTGGACAGTAGATATCTTTATTGGTAAACTTATGTTATTTTAGTTTTATTGTCTGCTTTATTTTTCAGTGTTTTATTGATTTGATATTTCTAAGGTTTTAAGGACACTCTCAACATTTTGACATCTTGAGTTTTGTGCTTTTATTTGATGTATTATATTAAGCTAAATATAACATAAGCTTCAGTGTTGTTGTCAACTTTTATCGTAACAAATATACTGTTTTTTGTGTTCTGTTGTTGAGCAGGTTCTTTTGAATGATTTGATAAAAATAATATCAGGTAATGATAATGAGTTAGTTTGTTTCTTCTTTAATGTTTTCCGTATTCACTTTTAGGACTCACTTCACAAAAATTAGGAAATCTAAAAGTAAGGAATGCCTAACTTATTTATAAACTTACTTGCAGAATTTCCTTGCTAATCATTCAATAACAAAGATGCAATCTAACACACTGACTAACTGAATAACTCAATGATTAGTTTATTAATACAGTGAATATTTGAACTATTACTAGAATTTATATCATTCTCATCTATTAATTAATACACATTTTTCTAGATCATTGTTATCACCAAGATTAATTCCAGTTAGCAAACAAGGATTTAGATTAAAACATTAAAAATATAGCTTACTACACTTCCCCTTTCCTGAACTGTGAAGTCCTTGAACAGTCCCAATACACAAATATAACAGCAAACTGGCTTGTATTTACCTAGTCCTTTTGGTGATTTTTCAAGTTATGATATACAAATGGGATGACCTTTTGCCCTCTTTTGTCACTAACTGTCCTGTCACTGGACTATTTAGGTAGTGGTTGAGAAAATTCACTATCATTTCTACCTTGGTGATTCTCAAGAACTTATCTTGACAGGAATCCTGGGCTCTACAGGAGGTTGACTTTGAGAAAAGTGATTTCTTCTCTCAAGTTTACCCCATTGCCAACAAACTCCCGAAGATGATCACAGTGAATGGCCCTTGGCTTGGACTGCATGTCCATCCGGATTCTATATACGCTACATTATTAATTTTTTCAGAACAACATATGGTCATTCCCTACACCTGCTTCACTTTGAAGTTCATCCTCTCTTGCAGTAGGTATTATACAACTATACTATGTTACCTGTGATGGAATCATATTGTGGTAACACATAGCTTTAGGACTGGAAGGATTAGCACTGTAATATCCTTGTTGATCGAGTTTGATGTTGTCTGAATGATACAGCTGACTAATGTTCTAAAAAAACAGAGGTCATGAGGTGACTGTCGACTGGACAAAAAAAAACTAGTTTAGCTGCTGAAGTCAGATGCAAATTCTTTGAGCAGCTCTACTAAGAGATCATTGTGTGAAGACTTAAGTTTAAGATCATTGTGTTTAGTTTGATGGTAGTCTATTCAAGAGAAATAAAGCTGTGGAGCTAAACATGCTCAAGTAGAATCAATTGTCTGATCACAGTGTTTTCTGTTTGTTTGTCATAATAAACAGTTTGTTCATTTATTTATATTTGTCAATCACATCAGTTTTACATTAAAATACTTAATTATAAACTTTCCCCAATTAATAACAAACATGCTGCCTAACTCACCAACTAATTAAATCACAATAAATTATTAACTGAACTTGAAGTGAATAATTCAATAATTAATACAGTGAATATTTGAGTGATTACTGATTTGCTCACTTTGGCATCTGTATCATTCTCATCATCTACTTAGTACATGAAATTTCTATATCATTACATCATTTTTTGTGATGAGATCCCTCTAGCAAACAAATGTCTAAATCAAAATATTAAAAATATAGCTCACAACTATAGCTTAGGCTTGTGTTTTGTGTGCTCCCTTATAACATAAATTGTTTTTCTCTCTAGGTACTCATGAATCTGGAAGCTACTCCATTGAACCACATTCCGAGTTTAGCCCAGAAGAACATGACCGAAGAAAGTCAAGAATGCTGCATCTCGTAGGAAATACTACCAAGAAAGTTATTTATAACTGGAGGCGAACACAAGACCTAACTTGTCTGAAACAGCTTCTTCATGGGGTTCGCTACTTGAGTTTTGCAGTTGCACCAAAAGAAGGTTCTTCAGAAATCTTTATTGTCTGTGGGTTGTTTGGAAATCCTGTTTCTTCGATCTTGGCAGACATTAAAGAATTTATGGATTCCCACCCAAAGGAAATCATTCTGATTGATTTTGAACATTTTTTTGAAATGACCAGTAATCACCACCAACAGCTCATGAAACAGGTGACCGAGGCATTTGGCTCTAAGGTGTGTCCATACCCTGAAGATCCTGAAGAGGTGACCCTGGCCTGGTTGTGGCAACAGGAGTACCAGATTCTTATCTTCTACCGGCATGAGATAGCCAAGGATCACCCATTCCTCTGGGTAGATTGTATTGAAGGTGCTTCTGCTGAAGCTCTGCATATTTCTGATCTCATCTTTTTTCTTTCCCAAAATTACTTGCGAGAAAGAAATGAAAAAACCTTCTATGTTTCCAAGGGTCATTTAACACCAACTGTGGCCTTCACCCTGAGACATCCTCGAAGCTGTCTTCAAGATATGCTAGTCAATACAACTCATGCAGCTCTCTATCAATGGCTGAAGGAAAAGACTGCAGGAAAATATGGTGTGAATATTGTCACTTGCGATTTTGTAGAATCTCACAAGTTTCACTTCTGTTTCATGGTGGTTGAAGTGAATTATTATGAATTGATGGTTGCAGAACATGATAAGAAGAAGAAGATGCATGGTCGTAAAACATAGACTTGCTTTGTTCCACTTCTTTTTATAATTCTCTGATGGTTTTTCTTGTTTTTAGTACTGTGTAATGAACGTGCTTATATGATAAGGTTTTGATGCCTAAATCTTGTGAGGTCTACAGAGCACAAACTATAGAATTTTTCTTGAGTATTTGTTCATTATGTTATTTTTTTTTTACAGAGCACTATTTTTTTTTAGAACCAGTATTTTCAAATACATAATTTTCACAAACTGAAATGTATATACTGATGCTTCTTTAGTTAACTGAATGAAATTTGTTAACATTACGTTTTTGTTTTTTGGAATGTAAAGCTAACAGCATTTTTTACCTGTGGCTACACGAACCACATTAAGATATATTTTTGGAATGTAGAAGTGATATCAATTAGTTTACTCAAAAGTTCTGGAACCAGCCAAAATTTCATAATGAGCTTGTTGGAAAAAACAAACACTACTATCTAATCATCTAGACAGTTTTACCAAAACTACGCACACATTGATTCCCACCAAGATAGTTTTAAGTTACTAAGTTTATAAGATTAATATGTGATTTGTGTAGTTTGTACTAGCTTTATGGGTGTTTTCATTGATGTATTAAAACCAGTTTTTCTTGGTACATACGTGAATATCAGTAATAATGTTAAATTGTTATTTTGATCTAAACATTTCACAAAAGTAGCAGCTTTTATCAAACTTAAAACTTAGAATCTCTTCATTCTGTTTTCAGTTTTTCACTTTAACTTTTTATTTTTGTATGTTAAGGCTGATTTTTTAAACTACTTGTTATATTTGTATGTTATTTGAAAGTTTATTTTGTGTTTGTACAAAGTGCACTTTTTGAGTAGTTTCACATCAAATGCACTAGTTGTCTTGCCATTTCCGCTGGTGAGAAATTGATTAACTTATAAAATTCTCTGTGATATATATTTTTTAAATATTTATTTATTTATGTAAATTTATTGTTGGTATTCTTAGTTTAACTTATTAGTAGCTTAGGTATATTTATATATGGAAATTGTTACATCAAGTTTAATAATGGCTGGAGACGGCTTGAATGGGTAATGAAGAAAAACTTTAAAATAAGTTTAACATAACAGCAAATGTACAACGTTTCGACAAGGTTTTGTCATCATCAGGTACAAGTGATTTACACTGACAGGGATATATATATACAGTATTGAACAAAGAAGTCACATGACTGGAACTGTTACTGTACAAGTTACTTGTACCCGATGATGACAAAACCTTGTCGAAACTTTGTACATTTGCTGTTATGTTAAACTTATATTAAAGTTTTTCTTCATTACCCATTCAAGCCATCTCCGGCCATTATTAGTCTCAAGGTGGGTTCCTCGTCATCGAATTTGAATACACCAAGTTTGACTTTTACCAGTGGGAATCATTAATATAGAAAAATTTATTGGATTATTAAAATCCCAGGGAAATATAACAGAAGGAAAGTTCACTTTGAGAAACATTCAGAAAAACTTCAAAAATATGAGGAATGTTGTTTTAACACTAGTACCTGTGTTATTTTAACACTAGTACTTGTGTTGTTTTAACACTAGTACCTGTGTTGTTTTAACACTACTACTTGTGTTGTTTTAACACTAGTACCTGTGTTGTTTTAACACTAGTACCTGTGTTGTTTTAACACTAGTACCTATGTTGTTTTAACACTAGTACCTGTGTTGTTTTAACACTTCTACTTGTGTTGTTTTAACACTACTACTTGTGTTGTTTTAACACTAGTACTTGTG